GTTTCTGTTGCGACGGAGTCTACGACCGCGTCCTCCTCGTCTTCTTCGCTAAATAACGCGAATTACAAAGTATCTATAATGAAAAGATGATATATACCCCTCGTCGTGCTGCACGCTTTACACGAGTCTCATCCTTGGTTTCCTCATCCTGAAAAGGGTTGACTTTTTTCTAGTAAAGTTACTAGAAAAGCATAACCACATACCTCTGCCTTGTTTTGCTTCTCAAGCAGACTGATAACTTTCTTATCTTCTGCCTCTTGTTCTTTGTCTAGAGTTTCTTCTACCTGAAAAACATGAAAGGTTTTTAGATGTAACATTTTTATGAAAAATCTATCACGTGTGCATCCTCCTCCACCCATTTTAGGCTCCGCGCATGCTTCAAGTAATTTTAGTCGCGACGCGATTTTCCGAACACCTACTGATATTGTAAGTACGTTCTGAATATATAAAAAAGCATTTCAATCGAGAATTATACACATTGCGCATTTGTAACATGCGAGTGTTCGATCTGAAGGCATCTGGCAAGGTTCCAGATTGCGTGGCGACGGAAATTGCGTGAAGTATGCTCGGGGTCTTACGAATAATGATAAGCAACCTCACCAAATCTCTTTGCTCATCATCGGCTATGGTAGCAAGTAATGCCTTCTCTTCCTCCTTCAAGGCTCTAATTTTTTTGAGCACTTCAAGTCCTGTTTCCGAAATCTGAACGAAAAAGTAAGTAAATAAAACCCGATAAACTTCAGCAAGCAACGATCTAACGTTTAAGGATAGTTAAGTTTTATAACTCACCTCTTCAGCAAAGGAAATATTCGATAAGGCGAATATACCCACTGCTAAGAGTAGGTACTTCATCTAAAATAACTGAATTTTTCAATAAAGAGTATGAGCAAAAAGAATCATTGCGTAATGAGCTTTATTTCGAAGGAGAGAAATGCTCTTGAGGTTACGGTAGGAAAATGAAAAAACGGCGGAGAAACCAGAACTTTTTTCTGTAAAGTCTTCAAAGCAACGAATGTGCTGCTTAGCTACATTTTCTCAAGTAAAGGCAAAAAGTAGAAAAAAAATTAATATTTTTGGCAGAAAATTTAAGCTGCAAATGGTCCAATCGCAAGCGTAGTCAATTTTGTCCCAAGGAAGCAATATTTTTTGAATAACAGTAAAACGATGAAAAACGGCCGGGAAAAACAGATTTTTCCATTTCGTTTGGGGAAAATTTCGTTCAATCATGAAAGGCGTTACAATCCTCCACGGTGAATGGA